CTCCTTCTTGGGGGGACCCTGGTGATGACCGTGGCCCTGCTTGGGTCAGCCAGGACAGTGTCACGGCCTCAAAGTCCCTTTGCTCAAATAAGGTGACATACTCATGGGCTCTGGGGGTTGGGGCCCTTTCTGTGAATTGTGGGGGTAAGGACAGGACTGTGAGTGCTCCCCATGCCCTCTCAAGGCGATCTGCACCTCCAGGAATGGGGACAGTGGGCAGGGACCCCCTCATCTGCAAGAGATGGCTGTTGCCTGCCCACACACCCCCAAATATCTACACACTGACCTTGCCTCTGGACCGGGAAGATCCCACCTCAGTGACCCTGGGGCAGGGGCAGGGGGGTGAGGGGCTGCCTGGCTGTGGTTGGGGACGGCACAGCCACCCCGGGGGGCTTGGGGAGGACTCCCAGTTCCCGTGCGCGCTCTGGCCTCCAACACCCCTCTCGGAGCACTTTAAAGACGAATTCTTGTTTTTGTGATTTACAAACATGCCCAAACATCCTCAGACAATTAAAAGAAGACAATTTAGATCTCCAGGAAGCCCATCAACTCAGCGGTAACCCCTGGTAACATACTGGTCTTCATCTTTCTTGACAGATTTCAGTATATGAGTTTATAACATCATTATACATGCCGCTTTATCATCTGCTTTATTAGCTCAGTAAGTTGTTCTACATTGTTCTACAATGTTCTACGGCAGTGAGTGTAGAATTTTATGTCCATTTCTATCAGCATCATAGTGTTATCTAGAATAACATTCTCAGGGGCACCTGGGTGGCTCAGTCGGTGAAGCGTCTGCCTTCGGCTCAGGTCATGATTCCGGGGTCCTGGGATCGAGCCCTGCATCAGGCTCCCTGCTCAGCGGGGCGTCTGCTTCTCACTCTGCCACTCCCCCCACTATGCTATCTCTCTCTTAAACGAATAAATAAAATCTTTTTTTAAAAAGCAGAATAACATATTTAACTAGTACATGGTTGATTGCCAAATTGCTCCTAACTTTTCACTATTATAAACAATACCACCCGAACCCCTTTTCCATTTGTCTAGGTATCTCCTTGGGGTAAATTTCTTTGCTTTCTTTCCACAGAGAGAGAGAGAGAGAGAGCATGCGGAGGGGCAGAGTGGGAGAGAGAGAATCTCAAGCAGACTCTGCACTGAGCATGGAGCCTGATGTGGGGATCAATCCCAGGACCCTGAGATCATGACCTGAGCTGAAACCAAGAGTCAGACGCTTAAGCAACTGAGCCACCCAGGCGCCCCTCATTTCATTTCTTTTTAGCTTGTAAGAGATGTTTTCAGATTAGAAACACTGACCCTTTTCCCATTTTTGTTCCAACTATTGTTCCCCATTGAGACACCCATCTTGCAATGATGCATCTGGTCTCTCTCATCCTCCAGAAACTTTAAAATCAAACTTATCAATGCTTCCTTTTATGATTTCTGGTTCCGTAGCAAACTTAGAAAGTCTTTCCCCACCCATGATCATTTTAAGAAGAAAAGTATCCGTAGTTGCTTCTCTTACTTCTCTCTACTTTCATGTTTTAAAGTTACATCCTGGCTGTAGCTGGAATGTGTTTTCCTGGGAGACTGGGATCCAGCTAGGTAGTTCTTCCAAGTGAGCGGGCAGGACCATGAAATGAGCAGCCCATCTCCCATGCTGATCTGAACCACCACCACTGGGATCTCCTAAATTCCCAAGCGTACCAGAGTTTGGCTCTGGGCTCTGTTGGGATCACTACCGCAATTATCCTGATTGTAGTAATCCACTTCCTTGCGTTTATCCCCACCAGACTGGGAGCCAGTTGGAGCCAGGGACTGGGTCCAGTTCCCCATGGCTCTGGGTGCAGACGCACGACCACCTCTCACCTCCCACGGAGGACGTGCATGCAGAGGGACGGCTTCACAGGCTCGCGCTCCCAAGGCCAATTCTTGTTTGCATTTCAGGCTGGGTGAGCCCCCCATCCCCCCACAGAAGTCTCCCTGAGTGTCGGGGCACGTGGAGCAAAGCCTGGCCGATTATTTAATCACTTCATGGGATGGACAGTGATTATAAGTCTCTGGGGGGAAACACCAGAGTCTAGTCTGAAATAGGAACTGTTGATTTTTTGTTTCTTTGAACTTCACGTCATTTGATACTTTGAAACATAGGGTGACAAAGCGTTGGACGGGACAGGAAGGAGCTCAGTATGAAGGCAAGGAGCAAGGATAAAAGAATAGTTTCCTTGCTGTCCTGCCCTGTTTTTCCGGGACCCGGGCAGCCTGCTAGGTGGGAAGGGGTGCTCAGTCTGCGGCTGGCGGGGGGGCCTCACTCCAAACAGACTTGGCCAAACCCAGTGCTCCTCCCCCCACATCAGGTGACGCGCGGTTCCCTGGGTTTCAGGGTCTCAAACTGCGGCACATCGAGCTCTGGGCCCGCACCCTCAGCCACCCGCTCCGAGGGAGCTCCCACTGTTGGTTCCAGCTCTGGGTCTGGAAGCCACACTCCCCCCCACCCCCGTCAGCCGTTTTGAGATTAGAAGGAGCGAATCGCGGGCCCTGGAACCATTGTTTCTGCCCCATCCAGCCCTCGCTTCAATCGCTGGTCATGACAGGGGCTGACACTCGCCAGGTGACCTCATTCTGTGCGTGACTCCCACTCCCATGCTGCGGCCACCTGGCAGGATGCTGAGGAGGACATGCAGTCCCGAGGGGAGGAGGGCACTGCAATCCCCTGCCGGGTCCCTCCAGTCTGAGGGTCTCGGGTTCTGTGGCTTCCACAGGCGAAGTTCTTGCATGTCCGGCCGTCCATCCCGGTCTGTGGGCCGGGGCGGGTGGGACCCTGAGGCGGGGACGGAGGCACGCAGACGGCCACCAGGGGGCGTGCCCCGTTCTCCCCGAGCCGTGGGGCCTCTGCACCGCCCAGACCCACCGAGCGTGGCACCTCCCTGGGGCAGAAGGAAGGCCAAACAGACCTCTTGCCCCTCTCTGGGTGGAAAGACAGCGGCAGAGCCAGGCGGAGAGTGTGGGCGGCAGGGAAATAGGCAGGTCCACAAGCCCTGGGGTGGGGCCCCAACTTGGCTCTCCACCCCCGCCCACTGCTATCTGCCGCTCTCCAAACACTCCGGCGTCTGTCCCTGTTCCCTCCACTGCGCGAACTCCTACACATCCTTCAAGGCCCAGTTCAAACGCTGGTACTGCACCTCCCAGCCCTGCCACTCGTGTGCTCCCATGGGGAGCGCTCACTGCTTCCGAGACCAATGACGGGTGCGCTTCTGTCCTGGAGAAGGTGGGCTCCACCCCCGAACGGACCATGACTTGCCCACGTCCGAGCACAGTCCTGTGCCAGGCGTCGAAGCTCACCTGCATTGTGGCATGCCCTCACCTTCCTCCCACGCTCTGAGAGACTCCCCCGAGGGCAGGTGCTGGGTCTGAGCCTCGCCGGGCCGGCGCGGAGCCTGGCAAACAGGCCCTCCGGTTTGCTGGAAGGAAGCCTATGTCTCTCTGCGGGTGGCTCGGCTTCTTTCCTCCGAAGGTCAACACATACCTACCAGGCATTTTCCGTTGTGTCCAGGGCGGAGTGGGTGCCCCGTCCCCACGGGGACAGCGGACAGTCACGGCGGCGGCGGCTCCATGGCTCAGTCCCTGGGGCACCTCGGCATCACCAGTGAGCTCACTTACTGTGCAAGCAAGGAAACCGAGGCTCAGGCAGGGGAGGGGCTTATGCAGGATGCTGTCGGCTAAGTGCACGTGGGGTTCTGGCCCCCAGAGCCCCAGGCCTGGGCCTGGTGTGTCCTGTGCACTTGGCGGGGCAGCAGGTCTGTCGAGAATGCTGTCACCTAACGCAGGCTGGCCCCGAGCGCTCCTGAAACCACTTACTGGTGAAGCAGTGGGACACAAACCGAGGAGTCATGGCCTTGGTGGCTGATGATCAGCTCCACCCACAGAAGCACATCTCAAAAGATCATTTTGAATTTGCTTTCGGGGGGGGGGGTTGAGCAGCTCAGCTTTGGCTCGACCCTCCTAAGAGGGAGCGCAGAGTTTGCACACGGACAGACCTGGGCTCAGAGTCCTGCCCTGGGTGGCCGCGCATGCGCCGACTCCAGCCGTGGCCTGGCAGAGCTTCGGTGGGCTCACCTGAGAGGTGGAGGTGATAACCCCCGAGGCCGTGGAGATGCGGCCAAAGACAGGGGTGGGCCCTGGTCCCTGCAGGTGCCCCAAGTCTGAGTCCAGGACCATCGGGCCGGCGGCTGGATGGCGGCCCCAGCGCAGTGTCTGGGACCTGGAGATTCGCACACCCTGCAGATCAGGAACCCTGCAAGTTCGTTGGTAAGTACGTACCAGAGAGCCCAGGGTAGCATCGTTACCACGGAGAGCCGAAATACCCTTTCTCCTCGGGCAGATGCAGCGCACGCCTATGCGTGGCTATTTTTATCGCCAGAATGCTCATTTCAGTCAGAATGGTCAATTCGACAAAATGGTTTGTTGGCTCCCCGCCCCAGCCCCCACCGAAAGCGGCCGTGGGCGCTGCTGGGGACTGTCAACCCTGCAGGTGGAGACCCAGCCCCGCCAGGACCCGCCAGGACGGCCAACGGGCCCGTGTCTGGAGCAGCCTTCCCGCACACACTGACAGCAGAAGCTGGCTCGGCAGCCCCTGGGTGGGCCCGGGCATCCTCCAGCGACTCTCCGTGGGGACGCTGTGTCTGTCCCACCCGAGCCCATACAGGTGGGAGCCGGCGTCCTCGTTCTCGGAGCCCCGGGCCCGGCTGCTGCAGCCAGGAATGCACGGCCAGGCTCATGTGCAGGGACCCCACAGCCACCCCGTCCACCCTGCCGAGCCTGCCCCCCCGGCCTGACCCCCACACCGGGTGGTCCTGTGCGGGGCCTTGCAGGAGGAGGTTCCGGCTCCTGGGACCCGGGCAGCCAGCTTCCCTGGCAAAGGGATGGGCTGCGGTGTGGGCCGCATGGCCTCCCCCCGCCTGAGGGCTGAGCAGGAAGGGGAAGTGTGGTCTGGCTGAGGCTCACTGCTCCAGGGTGGGCGGGAGGCCTGTGGGCGAGGAGAGCCTCCTGCTAGCTGCCTCTGAACCACCGCACTTGGGCCCCTTCTGTCCCCTCAGCCGCTCACGGATGGACACCCTAGCAACCGAGGTAAGCGTCTGGGCTTGAGCCGCCCGAGGGCTGCCCGGGGCGGGCGTGGAGCGCGATCTCTCGGTGGCCTTGGCAAGTCCACTCTGCCGCTCACTGGCTGGGGAGCTCGGAATCACTGCACCCCTCTGGGCCTCCATTCCCCCGCGGGTCTGTTGGGGGGCTGAAATGACATAATGACGGGCCGCGAGCTGCGTCAACCGTAGAGAGGTGGTTAGCCGTCTCTGGACTCTGACGGTGAGTCTGGGGAGCTGATAACTGGGAGGACCCCAGTGGGTGCGTGCTGGGGGTGAGGGGGCGAGGCGGTGACAATGCGAACTTTGGGCTGCATCTCGGGGCCAGTGCAGGAAACACCTAGCTGGGTGCGTCTAGTGTGTAGGGACTGGTAAGGCATCCCCTGTTCCCACGGCCTCGGGGTCAAGCTGTGCCAGCCTGGGGTCAGATCACCATCCAGCCCCCTGCTGCTGCCCTGGGAAATCACCGTGGACAGGGCCTGGCCCGGGTTTCCAGTCCCACCCTGTCACGCATCACTTGTCCCGAGAGCCACTCCCTTTCCTGGCCCTTGGCCGCCAGCGCGTGGGACCTCCCGGGGAGCTTTGAACGTGGTACCTCCGAGCCTGCTGAAGACAAGTCCTGGGGGCCTCTCGGTATTTCTTAGGATAAATGAAAACGTCAGGGAAACAAGGGGAAAGAATGACCCCACATCCCACAACCTCGCAACAACCACGGGAGAGAGTTTGGTGTTTTGCCTTCTAGTTTTTTCCCCTCCGTGTAGACAGTTTGAGAAGTTACCACTGTCTTATATTGATTAAATACGTTCTAGAGAGGACGTGCGGGCCTCACTGGCTGTCAGCAGTCCCCAGACCCCCCACCTGCTGATGGCCCCGGCGCTGTCCCCAGACAGCCCCCCAAGGGACAGGGCTCTAGGTGTCCTGTCACGCTCAGAGCCAAACACATAAGAAAACCAGCAACAGTGCGAGACGACTCGGTTGGACCCAAGGAAGGACTTCTGGGTTGCAGAAATCCTGGGATAACTTAGCAGGAAGCTTGAGTCATCCACAAGTCCGGAAGGTTCTGCCCAGGGCAGACGCATCACACCCAAGGCCGCGGAAAAACCGCAAAGGCCACCTGTTGGGGCGGGGCGAGCAGAAGCTCTTTTTAGATGTGATACATGGAGTCTTGACAACGTGTTCAGTTCACGCTCCACGGCAAGGCTCGGCGGGAGAGCGAGAGAGGAGGCTCCTGCCCTCGCTCAGCGAATGATCTGTGTTCTGGGCTTTCTCGCCGCAGGCTCCGGCCACACAGGCGGGGAACGCGGGGAACGCGGGGAACAGACGCAGCTGCCGCGGGGGCACGGCCCCGCTCTGCTTTCTCAGGGCCTGGGGTTCCTGGCAGGTTCCTGGGCCTCTTCCTTTCTTCCTGCCTCGTGACTGCGGCATGCGACCCACGGAGTGGCCCTGCGCGATTCTCTCCCGCCACCCCCGTCCCACGCTGCCCGCGAGGGGGCTCCCTGCTTCCTTATGCTGAAGTCTACAAGTTGTGCCTCTGACTTTTACTTCCTTCAGGCTACTTCTCAGGCTGTTTTTCTAGGAATGATATTGTAGAATCAGAGGATAGGACTGTCTGCTACTATGTGCTTCCCCCCTTCCCCGGAAAATTTTAAGTTTATTTAGTTAAGTAATCTCGACACCGGACACGGGGCTTGAACTCACGACCCCCTGCCCAAAATCAAGAGTCGAGTGCTCCACCGACGGAGCCAGCCGGTCGGTCCTAAGGATCCGAGTGTGAGCAGGGACACAAGCGGGAAGAATTTCAACTGGGGGACAAATTAAAAGAGAGGGAAAAAAGAAGCTGGAATTAATTTTAATCATACATTTAACTTAACCCAACATATCCCAATCCTTCCCGCAAGTAACCCAGATAAACATTTATTAATGATCTTTCATGTTCTTCCTTCCACACGAAGTTGTTGAGACCCAGCAGGTGCCCAGCGGCCTCGTGGGGCCCGTGGCTGCCGTCCAGGGCAGGGCAGGCCTCCGGTAAGGGGATGCGTGTCCAAGGCATGACGCCCTAAGGGCAGAGGGCGAGGGCGGAGCGGGATCCCCGTCCTCCCGCCAAGCTGTTTGCAGGTGCGCCTCCTCGTACAGAGACATTGGAGGCCCCTTCCAACTCCAGCTGGAACCCCAAGCTCCCGGCTCCAGCACACCCGTGTCCTCTCCCCACCTTTCGGGACTCGTGGCTACTTGAGATCATTAATGTTTCTCGAGAAAAACCCAAGTTTTTATATCCAGGACCTGACCATTAGTGGGTCTTGAAGGAAACGCAGGGGCTCAGGCTCCGTATTTTTTTCCACGAGCTCGGCTAGACAAGGCGGGAAAACACTGGGGCGCGTCATGTGTCCGAAACACAGCTCGTCGTGAAACGTTTCACGTATGCGCCTGTGGAGTGTGTTCCTCCACAATAGAACTTGGTTGTTTTGGGTTTGTTTGTTTGTTTGTTTTTTAAAGCAAGTGCTGAATAAAACCCACAGTCTCCGGAATTCCTGGCAAGGGCACGGTAGGAGTTCTGTCCCTGACTCCCCAGAAATGCCTTTTGGGGAAGTGAGAGCCGGGGCTGGGTCGGTGACTGTGCTCGGCCGCCCTCCCGCCCCAACCCACTCAGCGCGGCAGCGGGCTCCCTGGGAGGTTGTGCGGGCTGCTGGAGTGAGGCCGAGAGGCCAGAGAGAAGCTGGAGCTCCACCTGCAGCATCACAGGGGCGCGTCTACTTCCCAGCAGGCGGAGAGCCAGGCGGCAAGGCCGGGCTGCCCACCTGCCCGCATCCTCAGAGGGCAAGTCTGGCCATAGGCCAGGAGAGAGCCCAGCGCCTCATTCATTCCGAGATTCCCAGATCCGTGGGGAGCGCCTCCTGGGCCCTGGACACAGTGGAAAAGACAGACAGTGAACTAAGTGACCAACAGACCCTGAGGGGGGTGGCCGCGTCCGCGAGTGGGCCCAGCTGGAGGAAGGATGCGGTCAGTGATGACCACGCGGGTCTGCCTACCACCCACCCCGCCCAGCACCCGCCGACTTTGTCTCCTACTTCAGACCGAAAGATCGGGGGTGTTGGCCCCCCACTTCCTGCCTGCAGGCCCCAGCACGCCCTCTCCCCTCTCCATCCTTGTTCCCTTTTAAAAGCTCATCCTTCCTTCGGGCTGGGAAGATGTCTGTCTTTGCTGTATTTCACTCCAGTCTTCTGTCCCGGCACCTTCTCGGTTTAGAACCGCGGAGAAGCCTCTCACAGTCTCACAAGCCATCTCTCCTCCGACTCAGCGTCCAACCTTCTCTTGCCTTCTGGGGCTTCATCACTCTGATGGGGAGCAGGGCGGGGTCACTAGCAGGAGGACAAGCCTAGAAACGAGAGTCTTCGTTCCTAGTCACATTCACTTATATCCTCGGGGGACTTTGGAGGAGATCCTAGGATGCCCCTGCTCTTGCCAATGCCCTAGGGAATCCGAGGAAGGAATCCAATGCCCCGAGGAGCCAAGAAAGTCATTCACACCCTAGTAAAAATCAGTTTCTCTTCCTCAGAGTCTGGCACTCTCAGGCAAATGAGTTTGGAGAGGAAGTGGGGAGAGAGGGAGCTTGGAACTTTGCAGTGACTTGTGGATCATGGGCCTTCAGGCATTGTGACAAGCAAACAGGAAAGGTACTTGGGCCGAGGGGTCTTTTTAGCACCTTGCTCTCCACCACGCTGGAGCTGCTGCCACCTCTGACTGTGGGGGTGGGGCCGGGGCGGGGGGACCAGCCTCCCTCGTGCTCACCCGGCCCAGCTGTGGGCTCTGCTGCCTGGCCCGGTGCATGCTCCCCCTTGGGGCTGAGCCCCCTGCACTGCTTGTTAAAAATGCTGATCCCGGAGTCCCACACTGGACCCACCAATCAGAACTGGCTGTGGGCAGGGGGCCTGGGACCCGGGCATCTGCATTTTCATACACCCCACAAAGCCCCCGATCGTTGGTCGCAAGTGAGGGCCCTGGGGTCCGAAAGACCGGGCTTTGGCTTCTGAGTTCTCCACTTACTAGCTCTGCGACCCTGGCCAGTGACTGAGATCTGAGCCTCTATTGCCTTATCTGTAAAATGGACTCATAACCACAAGCTACCATTGTGAGAGCGCTTATAACCCGTGGTGCCTCAGCGCATGGCGCATGTTACTTTTCTGAGATGCATTTTCATATTGCGGTTCTTATTATGTGGAACAAGACACAGCGAATGGCTGAGACCTCGCCAGGATTGGAAGTTCTCAAACGAGCGTTCTGCTTTCAGTTCTGTTATGAAAGGAAAAACATTTACCAGCTTGGTGTCAGCCTGGCAGACTTAACGGGGCAGGAACTCAGGCGCCAGACGGCGCCGAGTTGAAATCTTAGGTTAGTCGATCCCTAGCTGTGCTGCCTTTAGCCAATAGCTTAACCTCTCTGAGCTCTCTATTAAGGGTAATAACAGCGCCCCCACCAGGGAGGTTATAATAAGGATTCAGAGATAACCTGTACGTCACTGGTTCTCAAACTCGGCCCTGTATTACTCACCTGGACAATTTCATTACGACAAAAAAACAAAACCCCAATGGCCAGGCCCCCCACCCCAGATCAATTAAATCAGAGTCTCAGATGTAGGCCATTGCTCAAGCTCCCCGGGTGATTCCAAGGTTCAGGCAGGAGGAGGGTGGGGAACTTCGATATTCCCCGAGTTCTTGGCCCAGGGCCTGATGCATACCGATATCTGAGGGTGCTCCCACTACGCCTCTTCCCTTCCTTCCTTCATGTGTGGTGGCCACTTCCTTCATGTGTGGGTGCTCCCCCAGGTTACAGGACCTGAGGTCAGGCCTGTAGCTCCTGACCTCCCAGCAACCGGGACCCCCAGGCCTGCACCTGTGGACTCAGCCCCTGTCCCCTCCCCGAAGCCCCAGGACTGCTGATCTGGGCCCATGTTGGCTCCTCTTCTGGTCCATACTGGTCTATACTGGACTGTAG